AGTGCTGCGTCCAGCTCTGGAGCCCTCGGCACAGGAGAGACCTGGACCTGCTGGAGCGGGGCCAGAGGAGGCCACAAACGTGCTCAGAGGGGTGGCACACCTCTGCTGGGAGGACAGGCTGAGAGTTGGGGTTGTTCAGCCTGGAGAAGCTCCAGGGAGACCTTATTGCAGCCTGCTAGTAATTAAAGGGGGCTTAGAAGAAAGATGAGGACAGGTTTTTCAGCAGGGCCTGTAGCGGTAGGACAAGGGGTAAGTTTTAAATTAAAAGAGGGTAGATTTAAACTAGATCTAAGGAAATTTTTGACAATGAGGGTGGTGAACCACTGGCATAGGTTGCCCAGAGAGGTGGTAGTTGGAAACATCCCAGGTCAGGTTGGACAAGGCTCTGAGCAACCTGATGTAGCTGAAGATGTCCCTGCTCATGGCAGGGAGGCTGGACTAGATGGCCTTTAAAGGTCCCTTCCATACTATTCTATGATTCTATGAAGACATGCTGAATAGAACTGCGAGTTGGCTATCTTGCTTCATGCCATGTTCCCCTCTCTTAATGATGTACTCCTCACCACCTACTTTATGCCACAGCTGCTTTCCATCAGACCCTTCCATGTGCCACTTGAATTCACTAACACAGCAAAACAGTAAGTCAGTAAAAAACTGGGCCATTTTCTTTCACTGAACAGTTCACCGGAAGACATGATAATTGTCCAGTCCAGAACACAGGGAGAGGAGGATGGAGAAGTGAGCCTTTTCTGTTTGGCCACTACTTTAACCCAGCTGCCCACAGAACCATAGCCTAATGCTTCTTCATTGGCAAAGTAAATTATAGTAAAATAAAGTAAATAAAAGGCTCCTGCCCACCCCACACAATCTCTGTTTTAGGGGAATTACTTTTTAAACATGGATCACATCCCCATTAAATTTTGGAGCTAATTCCCCAAACAGCTGCAGCTCTAAGCAGACAGAAGTAACAGAAATTTCTTAAAACTGTTTTTATATGAAAGCAATGATTTCTTTGGAACCACAACCATAGATCCCAACACCACAAGTGCTCTTATAATACCAACTGGTGCATCACACACACTGTCAATCCCAGCAAAATAAACTATCTTACGTAACATCGGTCTCAAGTCAATGCAAACACAGGTTTCCCTAGGTGTAAATTCAGAGATGGACTGGCTACAACTTGTACTACAGAGGAAAAAGACAAAAGGAGAAATTAGGACACACTGGAGACAATGGTGAAACTTGAAGGAAAGGGTGTCTGCTGTTTGTGATATGTTTAAAGTGAGGGAGAGCTCTGGGAATTTTCCCTTTAAAACAGTAAGACAATATCAAGAATATGACTGAAGTCATTTTACTCAATATTGAGCCTGAAAATCTGTGCCAGTATCTTTTTCACAGACATGTTCTGAAATTCCTTTACATTTTAATCTAGGGCAACATTTATATATATTTGTATAATTAACCTGTTAGCAGAGAGAGTGAAACACCAGTTAAAAATAGCAAAGCCTCTATTTGAGAGGCAAATACGACAAACAGAAGAGAACTTATCTGAGAAAGCCTGAGAGGGCACACAGCTGGGGAGAGGTGTGTGCACAGGAAAAATGAGGCTCTAATTTTTTGATCACTGATGATGAATCCTACTGCTTACAGAGTTCTTTCACTCCTGCAACCGCTGAAACCACATCACAGTTTTGGAAAACCTTCTGAAAACCATTGGAAACATCTTGCAGCAGCAACGTCATGTACCAAACCACCCTCAATAAGCTCTGCACTAGATGAACACACAAAGATGTCCCTTCAGCTGATCTCTCAAGAGGTGACAGCAGCAGCCCCAACCTGTGCTGCATTGTAAAGCCATAAGAAAGCATCTGGTAGCTCAGAAATTCAGGTGACAGGCCAGATCCAGACGATGGTTTTTACTACCAGCTAAATCACACTAACATAAGAAGTAATTCACACAAGAATAAAATATTACTGAAGCTTACGTAAGTCTCAAAAACACATCTTCCCCAACTCACCAGCCAGATTTGATACTAATAAAAGCAGCAACAGATTTTTTAGCTAATAGCTAAAAAACCCTGTGTGCAACATGGAAAAGCCACCCCAGCCTAAGCCAGTATTATTCCTATATACTTAAGAGGAACTTGTGTGCCTGTTCTAGTCACACTCTCTATCCAGTCAAGACGTGTCCTGGTTTAATGCTGTCATGGTCAGTAAAACGTAGAAAGTCTCTAAGTTCTAGTCAAACCCACCCCAGCCATGAGGAAGGGAGACAGGTAGGACCCTGTGATCTAACTGACCCTGTATCATAAAAAATGTTGTACATCAGCGGACAGGGATGATTCTCATACCTGCATCCCAGCTATACAGGACCATCTCACAACTGGTCATGGGCCATAGGACAGAGAGACCACCTGACCACAGTAAAAAGGGAAGAGATATCTGGATTCTTAGTTTACCCCACCCCTGGTAATAAAAAAGGCAATATCCTTCAAAGTCCAGGATATTCTGGGTTTTACCTATTCCCCCCTTGTTCCTGTTCTCCATTGCAGAGGGCAAAATGTAACAATCCCAGACTCTGCCCTTGAACCCTTGCCACTTCAGAGCTTAAGGGAACGCTGTAGTACAGTCAGCTTCTAGGTGACCACGCACTGTTAGGGTCTGACAAGTCTTTTTGCTGTCATATTTAATGTGATAAATATTATAGAATCATAGAATCTTTGCGTTGAAAGTCCAACCCTAGTCCAACCCCCCTGCCATAAGCAGGGACACCTTCAACTGGATCAGGTTGCTCAGAGCCCCGTCCAACCTGACCTGGGATGTTTCCAGGGATGGGGCATCTACTATCTCTGTTTATTAGTCATCTAATGAATTTTCATCAGAAGTTCTCTCACCAGGGCAGTAGTACAAATACCATCAAGTCCATTACTTACGGTTAAAAAATTCCTCGTAGTCAGTTTTCTCCACACAGCATGTGTACATGCGCAAAGCTGCTACCTTAATTTTCTAAAGAAAAAGAAAAGACAATATTTAAAGTATTCATCATGAGAACTAGTGAATACTACTGTTTTTGTTAAATACATAATCATTTTCTGAAGAGACTTCTTTTGAGAATCACAATAACTTGAGATTTTCAGGAACACATTAAACTATTATATCTTCCAGGAATGACACAAGTATAACCAATGTTGCCTTGAGGCAAAAAAATTATTAAATGGCTTCTTGAATACCCTTCTGAATCTAGCTTAATATAATACTGTCATTACAGAAAAATAAATGAAATTGCTTTCTTTACAGAGACTGCAAAGATCCCAATTCACAATTCCTAGTTTCCTCCAATAACTTATAACTAACAGATACCACTCAAAGTGTTTGTATAATTTAAGTTTTAAATATTAAAGAACTGACATACTAGACATGTCCTAAAAAAATTTTTTTTTTCCTACAAAAATGAAAATTGACCAACTAAGCTTCACAAGTGAGAAAGGAATCCCATATGATGAATGACATGAGGTATACTCCGGTGCTTTGGCACTTCTAATTTTGTTCTTGGCCTGCCATTGCACCAGAAACACCTTCAGTGCATCATCTGTAATGGATACATGCTTCAAAGAGCACAATAACTGATAGCAAAGATCTTAAAGAGCAGAGCTGTCAGCCATTCCTGTTTACTAACACCAAGGGGAGAAAAATTAAAAAGTTTGAAAAGTCCAGAGCCCCCTCCCCTACCTAAGCCAGGAAGCAGCACTGAGTTTGGGTTGTTTTCTTTTCTTCTGGTTTTTTTTTTATTTTTAGTGACATATACTATTGCTCACTATACAACAGAGATGAGCGCTATGTCTGTCAAATGGCACTTCAAATTACCAAAGTAATTATTTGTGTCTCTTCCAACCAAAAGAGAAATAAGAAAGTTGCCACTGATCTGCTGTGGAAACACAGGAGCCGTTATTTTTCTTATTCAATAATCTCAGGCTTCTGTCAAGAATCAAATATACATCCAAACTTCTTGTAGTAAAATAATTTACGCTGCTTACTGGAGTTCTGAAGGTTTCCTTTTTAAAGGAAATGGTGCCTGGCCTGGGAGTAGAGATGTCCCTGGTGAAAGCCATTGCCTCAGACCAGGCATTACTAGACATGAAAAAACATGTTTTAATAAACAGTACCTGCAATCTAGCCCTTAAGTAAGGCAGGTAACACAGGAGAAACTGATGAAATTTCATCATGGAAGTTTTAGGGTGTAGAAGAGGTGTGGAGGGAAGGGAGAAGAAAATGGAAAAAACAGAGAAATATTAAGAATCTTCCTTAAGATCTCACAGAGAGCACCGGCAAGGCAAAAAATGAACTCGTCTCTCCTGGGCCCTAACCACAAACTAACTCTCTCCAAACCCAAGTTCCCTAGCCAAAAGCAGGCAGTAAAGAGTAGCAATTAAGGAGAACTCCAAATCAACACTTAGAGCTAACAAGAATCTTATTACAACAACATGTACACAAGCACATGGGAGAGAAACTGCTCACTCACAAGGTTTAGCATCATGTGATTAAAAGCAACCGATTTTAACCAAAATACCTAACCCCCCTAAGTGTCAGTTATCTTTTCTTTATATTTTCTTTCTGAAGAGCGAGACGCAATCAGTAAGAGTTTCAGCTCAGTCTCAGAGGAGGCCCACTCCACCATGTAGATATTCAAAGTACCTTATAGGTTTTAATTCCTGCACAGCTGAGCTCAGCCCTTCCTTCAAGCGGCTTTTTCCTTTCACTGCTTTATACTGTGTCCTGCTTCAGAGCAAAGAAATTATTCATTTAATCTCTGCCTTTTTCCTTCTGCATAAGGAACTGCAGGTGCTTCTTGCAGAACTGCTCTCATTTAGCCAATATTAACAACTGCTTTGTGAAAGAACTATTTAAAAAACATGAAAGAGAAGGACCTATTTGTGACTCTGCCCCAGTCAGCTCCCACTGAACAGTGACTCAAACAGCAATCATAATGTAACTCGCTACTGTCTGTTTGGGAGACTCCCCTGTCACAGAAATACAGAACACAGAGGTTCAGAGAAGGGGAACAAAAATCAAAACATGAAAGAGCCTCAATAACAGAAACAAGTTAGACAAAGTCTCCTTAGTCCAGAGAAAGACTAAGATATTATGGAATATGAGTCTATAAAATCATCAGTGGAAGGGAGAATGTGAACGTACAGTCCGAGGAAAGAATAATCATCTTTTTTTTTTAAGTACAAAATTAAAGGGCACCAACTGAAAACAACTGTGCTTCTTTCCCCAGTAGGTACTCAAGCTATGGAACTCTCTGATAACGAATGCTATGGACGCTATAAACTTAGAAGAGTTCAAAGTGCAACTGTACAAATTTATAGAAAAAAAATAGATATTACAGAAAAATGCCTAGTTTCATATAGGAAAAGTCCTGAAGTTCTGAAACAGACAACTGTTGTAGGCTGGAGGAGTACGTGAGACAAGTATCATAGCATGCTTTTCCTGTAACTAAATTCTTTCTGGATAACTGCAATCGGTCATTGTTAGAGACAAGATGATTGTCTATATGGGTGCTTGACTTGGATAGTAAGGCTGTTATTGTATTCTTTGGTGCACAAATGAAGTGAAAAATAAGATATCTGAAGAACTTCATGAAGGCTTAAGATTCTACAAACCAAATACAATACTCCTACTTATGTGAATGACAGCAATGCATAGATCAAGGGAAGTTCAAGCTATGGATTATTATTCCTCACATCACAATCCTCACAGGAATTTATGTGGGTAATAATTAGAACTTTTCCATTAAGTACTACTCCTGTCATACGGAAAAAAAAAGGGGGAGGGGGGTTTGCTTTTTAGAACTCAAAGTATTAACCAACCAAAAGTATCATTAAATGAATGCTTTACCCATCTGTTATACTTCAGTGGTCCTGTGAAACCCATTGCTTCTATTATCCTTGTGAAAGCACCCACTTTCTCTTCAGATGGCTGCAAGGAATCTGTTGCAGAAAGATGCTGTAAAATTGAAATATCACATTTTTCAGTCTTAGCAATTAAATATGACAAATCATTTTAGTTAGAAGAGCTACAAGTTTAATAGAGAATTTTAGGGGTTTTGTTTACTTTCTTTGTTCAACAAAACAAATACATGTTTAGGTCTTCTCTGCAAAATATTAGCCTGTTTGGTTTTTTATTAGCCTATGTGACATTCTTCTGTTTATGAATGCAAACACTGCATAACCATTTCGATAAAAGCATCCCACTGGAAGCTCAGACTCAAATAGTTTAAACAGAAACTTGCTTTCCAAAATATGGCTCCCATTCTAGATTCCCATATTCTTTCTAGATTGTGTGTCTTTACTTGTGCTTAAATCTTTTGCAGATAAAATGAGGAAACAAATCACAGAAACAGAGTAAATAAAGCTAACTTTTCACATTCCCTCTTACTCTCACTGGCATACCATGTTCTCGAGTAATTATATATTATATAAACTAATCAGCTCCATCTTAAAACTAATGAAGCTACATCAACCCACCATTCTTACCAAAAAGCTCCCTCAGATTGTTATTTCCCTTACAGTTAATCTAAATGGTACTTGCAGAAAATCTAGATCAGAAAAGTATTTAGTCCTCAATTATTTGCAGTATCTGCAAACATGAAGATAAATGTTCTCTTCCAGATTAACTACATACCTTAAACACCACTGGACTGATAAGAAATTTTCAAGGCGTTCTGCCTCTAAGCATCTTGGCAGTAGCAATCAGCCATCAGTAATTACCATTTATACTCCAGCAAATAATTTTAAATTAATTAAGTATGCAGTATAAATATTTTGTTATCAACAAGTTACTCTACTTTTAACCCATCTAACACACATAAATCTCCTACATATACTTGAGGAATACAGCTGAGAGCCATTATAATCTGAGAAAATTCCCTGACCAAAGAAATGTTAAATTGCTTTAAGTTGCTGGAATTTTACTCTAAACACTTCCTCCTAAGACATGAACATACTAAGAAAAGAATTTTCTTAGTAGGGAAGCAATTTAGCAACCTCATGACTGCCATACATGGCCAGAACAAACACTTAGACCATCTCCAACAACGACCAGTAGCAGATACTCGGACAGGACAGAAAAGCAGAGAAATACGGCACACACCCTGCAGCTTTCTGGGGTGAACCCACCCAGCTTTTGACAGTCATGCACCAGAAAACCTATCCACACATTCATTTTTGGCATCTACTGTTGGATGCACCTTCAACACATCCCAGTGTTTGAAACTATTTAAAAACTATATAAAAAATTTCTTCCTTCGAGCTAGTCGAAATCTTCCCTCTTTCAGTTTAAAACCGTTACCCCTTCCTTGTCCTACCACTACAGGCTCTGCTAAAAGGTCTGTCCCCAGCTTTCTCAGAAGCCCCCTTTAAGCCCTGGCAGGCTGCGATAAGGTGTCCCCGGAGCCTTCTCTTCTCCAGCCTGAACCACCCCAGCTCTCTCAGCCTGTCCTTACAAGAGAGGTGTTCCAGCCCGCTGATCTTGTTTGTGTTCTCCTCTGGACCTGGCTCCAGCAGGTCCATGTCTTTCCTAGGCAGATTTTAGTCTTAATAATTATATTAAAAATATTCAGATTGAATTTTAATAATTCTACTAATTAGTACACAACTCTTGTCTACAAATGCATTGTGAAGTTTCCCTCAGTATGGACTTTTCACTGTGCAACAAAAGTTAAGTTAAAAACCAAAATTATCTTGATTCAACTGCCATTAGCTCATCACCAAAAAATGATTGACTGGAAAACAGTCTTTTTCTAGAGAAATGCCATGATTTTTGCTTAATTCTTCTGCAAGTCTGCCTGGACTAGCTCAGGAGATGGAGAGGGGACTTAAGCAGTGAGTGTTTGGTTCAACCTATGGATAGAGGTATGCAGTTCATCCTGCCAATGCTAGGACTGCAGCCAAATGCAGTTAAACAGTCCTATAAGCATATATAAAATCAGATCTAGAAAATATAGAGAAAACTTCAAAATATGTTTCATAACACACTCCAAACAAGCTCATCAAGACACTGAAAGGGACATAAACCCACCTCAGGCTGACTTTCCTGCTCAATACCTGAAATTCAGTGTCCAACCACTTTCCCATCAGAAGTGCATAGCATTTCAAAATAATGAGATTGCAGTCCAAAAACCTACCCCAAACCTTACCTACACTTCTGTAAACAGCTACCTCTCCGGTCATAAATCGTGCCTGGCTTCTTACACCAAGGCTGTTTTAACCAGGATGTTTCCCCAACTCATCTTTCAACCTTTGTACCTCTGCTCTCGCCCTTACCAATACATCAAAAGCAAGTCTCTGACCCCTGCCTTGAAGATCTTCACGCCACTCCTGGCTTGATCCACCATTTTGTCAACCATTGCTCTCCCAGATCTGCTCTGCAAATAACACTTCCGCAGGTATAAGAGGGGAGGCGCTGGTCGGCAAAGGGTCTAGGGATACGCACCATGTTTGAGAGCCTGGATTCTATTCTTAGCTCTGGCCATGGTAAATTGTGCACATTTACATGTAAAATGTAAACATGTAAAATGTAAAACATGTAAAATCTGTGTTGAGACACACATTTTGTGTGTTTCAATCCCTTTGGCTGCAAAATGTTTGCTTTACCTCTCCAGCTGAAAAGCACTGAAAAATTGACTGAAAAAAGGAAAACCTCTAGTTAAGAACTAGATGCAAACAGCAGCTAGAAGTTCTTCCCTTCCACCCATCTCCTTGTTTTCCTTCATTTTGTCTATCCATGTCAAAGTAACCAATTTAAAATACTTCTTAGTACTTACTTCTAACTCTACATCAGCAAAATACACAATTAGGCAGAGAGCAAACTGGGAATGTTGCTTTTATGCAAGTTTTACCCATCAATCCCTAACTTTCTTATTCCTTCTGTACACATTCCATTTTGCCATTTTCTTCACATTGTGTTAACAGGAGTGGGATCAGGATATTTATTAGTTGAGAGACGCTGACTCCCTTGGGTTAAATTCTAAACTAATCTTATGGAGATGATTCGTGCTCCAGAAAACTTCTATTCCAAGACAAAAGACAATAAATAAGAGATGCAGAGACTGTAAATTAACAAAATAGTACAGATGAACAGTAAATAAATTATTACATAATAATTAGTTGTTATTAGTAGACTGCATGACAATTTTCAGTGTTTAGCAAAATATAAGTATATATCATATATAAATATATATCATACATGTTTATATAAATTATAAAATACATAAATATATATTAAAAATATAAAAGATAGCGGAACTGCCATTACACATTATTCCCAAGCTAAAGAATCAGGAAACATCTTGTCATTTCTAATATGTATGGGCAACTTCTGTGTTTCCCTTTTTAAAGGCAAGAAAGGAACATCTGCCCCCACCCCAATAACTACTCTCCTTAACTTAGTTTCTTTCCTCATTGGAAAGAAGCCGTCAGGCTTATCTCTGGAACCTTCACCTCAGATAATCCAACTGTAACTGCACCTTCCTACGCTAGCACTTCATTTTCTGGAAAGGAACAGAGAGCACTTCGCAGATTACTGGACCTAATGTTCACTCTACGCTAAAACATTTCATATAAAAGTTGAACCATCTCCTACACGTTTTGAAAAGTGTTTTGTTGCCTGTATCTGTATAATCCCTAGCACAATGTGCCCTTTGACAATAAAAACATCAAACTCTTCTAACCTTATTTGTATTGTAAAACGATCTGATTTGCTGCGTAATGGCTCCATTGGCTTGAATCAATCCATCACTGGATTTAGACAGTCGGAATTGACCAGCCTTGCATCTCTGTTAAAAATGAGAAGAGAACATTGACTAGTATAACTTCACACCAATTACCCTTTGCTTCCAAGACAATTAGAGCTCAGTCTAATCCTGAAAAACTTTGTATCACAAAAAGCACAAATTTATTATCATAATTGTTACAAAGAGAATGGTTGTCAATGCTTAATGCTCTGCACCACACATTTTTTAGCATTCTGTAAACACACTGATGGAATGGACTGGCAGAACACTCCACCCTCAAAAACCACAGGCTATCTGCTTTGACTTTCTCACACCATATTTCTAATTATGGGTTTTGTCTCTTTATTAAGAGTAATTCCTTTTCCTGGCCTTGCAGAGAAACAGAGTTTATGCTATTTTTATCTACAACTTTATAGTCCATTCATCTATCTTTGTGGCCAGGACTTGAGCAAAACAGATTACAGGGTAAAAGCTATCACTACAAAGACTCTAATTTCACAGCACATGATTTGTATTACAGAGCTATTACACAATAAAGAAAACTATCCAGTAGGAGTGAGTGGGATCTTCAAGTAAGAAGCTGCACACTGAACAGAACATCTATCATAGCCTCCCAGCACACCCAGATTAGCAGTAACTTGTTTATGAATAAATTCAGACAAAGCAAATATGCTGGTTTGTTCAGAGCAGTCATCCCCAGAAATCTACTGAATCTATTGGTGGCTCAGAGTAAGCCCAACTTTATCAATTAACTTCACAACTGCTCATTTCCCTTGCTACTCCCAATATCATATGCTACTTGATATGGACTGGTGCTTTGTGTCACAAAGCACAGGCAATTTTCTCAGGACTGGAAGGTCTTATCTGAGAAAAGACATCCAAGCCAAAGAGCTTACAGGTAAGTTTCTAACTCTGTAACTCATGGCTCTATGATACAAGTTGTAATATACAGGAGGACAAAGAATAGGCTTAATCTCCTCTCATTTCATTACATGCAAGAAGGAAACACCAAGAAATATACTCTAATTCTGTTCAGATAGCTTCCATCTACTCCCATTTTCTACACATTTCTAACTTCTTTATTATTAACTGCTATTACATGATGTTCCAGTTAATCTACTATGGGCAGACACAATCTGACACTATGCATGCTATTACAGAACTGGAAGCAAAACTGCAAAGCAGCGGTTTCCACTGAAACAAGACCACTTAACGTTGTGCTGTGCTAGGCAAACATACCATCAGTACGAGAAAGTCCAAGGCAACTGTACACTGGACGAGACGTTCTACAAAATAAAGTGCTGGAAATTACAAGCAATCATGACTAACTTGTAATAGCCGCTTTGGAAAATGACACCTACGTTTGGACTTCTGCATTTAATCTACTCACTGGATCATTTGGATCCATTAAAAGACTACATGGCTGGAACGAAGACAACTGTGTAATAAAGAGTGGGAGCTCACCCTTTTAGCCGCAGAAAGCTTTTAACTTCTCTTGGTATTTCAGCAATACACAGTGAAGACATCACTTTTGGAAGCCTCTTTATTTAAAAACCATGACTTTTTCTTACTAATTTAAGCTTACTCCATTACCCCACTTTAACATACTCTGATATCCTACCTGGAAAATACCATGGAGCATCCGTCTACACTGGCCTCGGACTGCAGTTGTCTGTAATAATCCACTGCATGCTGCTATCCATTGAGTTACTCCAGTATGGCAGCTCTGGAACAGAGAGATTAGCAATGAAGAAAAGGACTCTAATACTCAGAAACAGTTTAACTGTCCTCCTGCTTTCACAAGTTTTATTCATTTATACAACAATCCTCAGATTAAACTCCCAACTTGCGCTTGACAAAGTCTAAATTTTGACTTTAAAAAAATCTTGCCTTACAGTACAAGCATGCAACCTAACTTTGATGGCAGAAACAGATGAGTCAAAGGAAGTGGCAGGCTGTGTACATCACAAAACTATACTATAATTTTTGTATCTATACAATAAATTCAAATGTTTAAGAAGCATTCTTCAATTGACTGAATAGTCTCTAAAAAACCCTCTTCCAACTCTCAGCTTTTATGCATCTTTGTCTTACTTTACTCAGGTGCAGCTAAGAATTTCAGTTGAAGTGTGTATTGTCCCAATTCATTTCAGTGAAAATAATTATTTTCTGTAATGAAAATGTCAGGTAATATGGAAAAGAGGTGGGGTTTTCTTTACCTGCACTTTTTTTGCACACTTAATCTTCTGCAATATTCAAGTTAGTACAATATTTGCCTCCTTCATACATGTTCCACATTAATACTGGAAATAATCTATATATTATTAGAATGTGTATGCTTTTTTAAAATAAAAATGGCTTCATCTTCAATTGGCCACAAAGATGATACAGGGATTGAAGCATCCAACATATGAGGAGAGGTTTAGCGTTGAAAAAAGAAGACTCCAAGGAAATCTTATCAATTTGTATAAACACCCAATGGGGTGGGCAGTCAAACTCTTCTTAGTGGCACCCAGTGAAAGGACAACTATGACGCTAGCAGATCTGCCCAAAGATTAGGAGGAACAGACACAAAACCAGCTTGAGTTCCTGTTCCCTACCGTCAGGTGCAGTGTACGGCCTCCTCAGGCTGTCCCTCGTCAGAGGGACACAGAGCTCCCTCACTGAACTTTTAATCCGTTAAGGGAATTGATTTGGTCTTTTAAAAACTGCAAGGGAAGAGCTGCTCTACCATAATAAACGTGATTAGTGTTCACTGCTATTACACCTTCCTACTTCTACTGTGGCGAGACTTACTTAGTTTCTGATCTTTCTCTGCAACATCACTACCCAGCAAGTAAAATTATGAGAATGATACATTTCTATCCAAAAAGACATTTCAGCCAAGTACCACAAAGTACTTCTTGAGGTAATGCAGTGCTCTGACATAAACAGTTTAATAAACATTTAAGTGAGAAAGAAAATTCACAACTTGTTATGAATAATTACTACAAGATTTGAAGGCATCTGATGGAATTTTTTGAGGCTTTTTCTTTGTAATAAGAACGAAAACATGCCTAGGTTGCAATACGTCTTAGAGCTTGAATATACTGGGGTTTATAGCTGTTGAAAAGCACTACTGCAACAGAACTGGACAGAGACATATGGAAACATAAAATAAGCATACGCACACTTAAAAGGTGAGATGTGATAAAAAAATCAATAAAGAAAAAGACAACCGCAGAAAGCGGCAGAGCAACAGAAAGGGAACACAATGAATCTTCCCTAAGCCAGCGTCACTGTTTGCAGACCATAACCTTCCTTTCAAATTTTAAGTGCTGCTTTTACATCTCCATTTGGCCAAAAGAAAATGTACCAAGCATAAACTGAACAGGATTACTCAGGAATAACCTGCAGACAGCTCAAGCACCTCCTGCGGCTAGCTGCCTTGTCAAGATACAGATGAAAGAATATCACTATGGTCTTCTAAATCCTCCCGGTAACCATTAGGAAAGCCTTAGGTTGCAGACAAACTATTAATCAAGACGTCTTCTTAGGTAAAGAACAGCTTTATCATAATGGCAGTATTAACTAGTACAGCTGAAATGTCTGGACAACAGTCAGGACTGTATCATACGCTGTGAGCTCCTGAGAAGGCTTGAAGAGACATAAAAAAAAATTTCTTATTTCCAGTACAAAGAAGAGACATTTAAAGGTCAAAGACTTATTTTCATACAATTAGGCAAGTATTAAATTCTAATGCAAAAGCAAATGCTGGGAAATGCCAAGGATCAGCAAAGCTTAAGCTGAAGCATATTGCTGCTGTCAGAAGTACCCTGCCTCCCAACGGCATAATCCCACCACTTGCTGCAGCGCAGGTGCTTCTCCGATTACAAAGGCACTTCACATCACAAAAATGCCGAACAATTACATTTCCTCCCCTCCAAAGTGAAATTTTTCTGGTAAGAATCAGCTTACTTCACCATATGAATGCCAGAAGCAGCTGGAAGAGGAGGAGCTGCCCAGGAACAGGTAAGCCGCCTAGGAGACAAGTCCTTCACCTTCTGCAAGCAGGTTTTCATTGCAAACAGCACCCTGGGGGTACAGCTCCACAGAGAGCTGAACCCATCCAGTGACTCACTGCTGCTCTATCCCTCTCCCTGCTCCCCTCCTGCCTGGCTTCCCCCTCTGTTTTTGCTAGTGATTGCCTCTTTAACAGATTAAAACTGCAGAAAACTATTTTTATGTTACCACAGTTCTGCTTCTCCAGCATTGGGAGACCAGGGGCCAAGAAAAATGCTGGAGGAGGCAATGGTACGGCAACAGTGCAAAGACATGAGCAAGGAGAAAGGATTAGGAACAGGAGGAGGAAGGAGCAACTCAAGCTCACTGCATTTCAGTTGCTCTCAGGCAGGTTTGCTCTCAGCTGCTTTCATGCATGACCATGCTTGTAAAAACCACACCCTGAGAGATCACTTCCAAGAACTTAGTGAATTAATTTCACAAGTGGGTATTGCCCTCTGACTAAAGGCCTTTCACCTCCCTGACAAACCTGCCCCCACCTAGCAGTGCTGGCCGTCCCTCTGTTTTTGTTGTGACAGAATATCAGACGCAGGCACAAACCTCCCTTTTCTAGACTGTATGCTAAAAAGCGGTACTGTGCTGCAAAGACTTTAAAGGCTAGTAAAAAAAACCAAAACACACACAAACGCATAAGAAAGGTGAAGGGGGTTTCGTGATTAGTAATCCACTCTCGCTCACTGATAGGAGCCCAACCTCTTCCACTTAACGCAGAAATTGGAATCTTTGTATTATCCTTGCTATGAAACACCTCTAAAGTGAGAGGGGGATCTCCAAGAATGGCAATCCCCACCTCACAGGGCACACACACTGCGCCCAAAGCAATAACAGAAGGTCCAGGCTGAAAAAACCCACCCCTCAACCCCAATCCGGAGTACCAAAGCCTTGCATAATTCTTATGTAAACAAACGCTGAAGGAAAAGCTCGACCCGCTCCTTCGCCAGAGACCCCTGGCGAGAGGGCTGCAGGGAGGCGGGAATAGTCGTTGGGTGCCGCAGACACCCCCACGGCTTCACGAAAGCGGCCGGACCGCCTCCTCCTTATGCACGTTGTCCGGGGAGAGGCCACGCCGCGCACAGGAGGGCCCG